AGGCCTGCCTAAACAGAGAGGGAATGTTGAGAGTACAGGGAGTCAGGGTCCCCAGGAAGTAAGATTGGACTGAGGAAGGGCCTAGGCTTGGACCCATGCATTTAAAGGACAGGGCCAGAGAGAAAGGGAACTTCTGCTTGGCAGCCTCATTTTCTCAAGGAAGAGTAGTAGGATAAAGTTGTGAGCAGCACCTGGGAACAGGAGAGGGTGCCAGAGGTGAGCTAGGAAGGGCCTGCCAAGAAGCCCCAAAGACTGAACACACTGAGCAGGAAGCTTGATTTTTTTTTTTTTTTCCCACTCTGTGGCTCCTGTGTAGGCATGGAGAAGCGTGTGTTAGCTTGGCTTCCTCACCTCAGGCAGCTGAAGCAGGAGGACAGGATGGGGGGAAGCTGGGGCTTGGTGTGATGTCTAGACTGAGCTATAGGGAGTAAAGGAAGGGGGCTAGGAGATAAGGGTTAGAGCTCAAGGGTGGGAGGAGGGTGGTGCCCTATTGAGAGAGTATTTATGAATATTCAACCTCTGGGTCAAGTGGTTCCTGGGTGTGAATGAAGAGATAAGAGATGTGAAGGGGAAAGGGAGAGAATGATAATGTGGCATGGGGTAGAATTTGCCCTAGACAGGTTTCAGAGCAAAAAGGAAGGTGGGAGTGAAGAGGGGGCAAAAAGTGGAGCGGCGAGGCAAGGAAGTTTGGGGAAGACCAGGAGCTGTCTTCAGTCTGGTTAGTGTCACTACCTGCCCATGTGTAGCCTAGGTTCTCACTGGGCAGTCAATGGGTTGGGAACTGTCCAGGCAACTGTTTGCTAAATGTACTGGTGTGGGGCCTCTCCCCACCCACATGCAGCAGACCCTATTGATCAACCTGCCCCAGACACCACCCCTTAGTTGAGTGATTCTGAAGGCTGCTACCTCTGTATCCACCCTCCAGGCTGCCACCAATCAATCTTTCTGTAACACAAGTTTGACTGTGCCTCCTTGTCCCAGTGCCCTAATGGTGCCCTATCCCCAGCAGGACGAGTTTGGGGCTCCAGTGGGATAAGGGCCTCAGTGGTTTACTCACACTCTTTTAGAGACACCCCAAGGGAAGTTAGTTGCTGTGGTCACCTGGACACAGTAAGTCTTCCCTGCCGTTGTGTATGCTGGTCCTATACCTGCAATATCCAGTGCCACATTATCTACCTTCTAAGAAGGGTTTCCAGAACCTTCGCCAGCTCCCTAGATGTGGCCTAATCATCCCTTGTTACCTCTCTGTGTCAGTGGGTCTACAAATCTGTTTTCTGCCTGTCCAACCAGGTGTCTTGTTTCTGTATCTGCTGTTCATAGAGCAGTGCCAGAGACCTAATAGGCACTCAAGAGAAGGTTCTGGTGATGGCTATAATCCTAGTGACTTGGAGACTGAGACCGGAGGATCATAAGTTCAAGGCCAGCCTTGGAAACTGTATGAGATCCTATCTCAAAAATTAAAAATTAGGGCTGGGGCTGTGGCTTAGCAGTAGCGCACTTGCCTGGCATGTGTGAGGCATGGGTTCGATTCTCATCATCACATATAAATAAATAAAACAAAGGTCTATCAACAACTAAAAATATATATATATTTATTTAAAAAAATCAAGGGCTGGGGCTGCAGCTCAGTGGTAGAATACCTGCCTTGCACATGTGAGGCACTGGGTTCCATCCTCAGAACCACATAAAAATAAATGCATAAAAATATTGTGTCCATCTACAACTAAAAAAATATTTATTTTTATTTTTATTTTTTTAATTTATTTTTTAGTTCACGGCAGACACAACATCTTTGTTTGTATGTGGTGCTGAGGATCGAACCCGGGCCGCACGCTTGCCAGGCAAGCGCGCTACCACTTGAGCCACATCCCCAGCCCAAAATATTTAAAATAATATTATAAAGGTTGGAGATATAGGTCAGTGGTAAAGTATCCCTGGGTTTAACCTCTGGTATCAAAAAAAAAAAAGAGGGAAGGTCTGGAAAGAATGGGTGTAGTAGGGTGGATGGATTAAGCCAGTGGGCCCCTTTCTAGGCCCACTCTGCTCTGCCCTGTCCTGTTCTGTCCCAGAGATGAGGCCTGGGGGAAGGACTAGTGTCCACCCTACCCTGAGGCTCTGCCCAGGATTACTGACAATGTCTTGAGGTGGTCTGTGCTTCTGGAGGTTTATCCCTGGCCTCTCCTGGGTGGGTGGGAGGAAGGGGACCTTGTGATGAAATGGGACTGGGTTCATCCCTGCATCAAGAGGGATACTCCGGGCTGGGGATGTGGCTCAAGCGGTAGCGCGCTCGCCTGGCATGTGTGCGGCCCGGGTTCGATCCTCAGCACCACATACAAACAAAGATGTTGTGTCTGCCGAAAACTAAAAAAATAAATAAATATTAAAAAAAAAAAAGAGGGATACTCCTGGGCTGGAGATGTAGCTCAAGGCAAGTGTGAAACCCTGGGTTCAATCTCCAGCACTGTGGGGGGAAAAGGAGGCCACTCCCTACCTGCCCTTAAGTGCTAGCAGCCACCTCTGCCCTCTTCCTCTTCCCTGCCATTTGTTCTGTGTCCTGCTCCAGGTCTGCTTTCACACCTATACCCCTGCCATGGCCCCTTCTGGCTATCCAATATGTTCCTTCAGCCCTCTTCTTCCTCCCTGCCTCAGAGTGGATGGGATATTCCCCACCACCACCTTCTTTCCCACCTGCTGCCTCCCCAGACACCCTTCCAAGCTTTCCCACCTGCCTGGTACCTCTCCTTTCAGCCATCAAATATGCCCTCCTCCACCATTTCTCACCTGGCCCACTGCTGGGGGCATCCCTGGCAGCCTGAGCATCTCCTTTTCAGACAGCAAACACTTAAAGGTGTGTTTTCCTCATCTCCATAGGGCACACCTCAGGGCTGGAATGAGGCTTGTCAGCTCTGTGGTTCTCTGGCCTAGGAGGTGTGATCAGTACCAGACAGGATGTGAGGCACTGGTGGGTTCCTCTGCATCTCCTTAGCTGTCCAGAGACTACCCTCCATGGGCTCTTTTTGTTTTTCCTGCCCACAGTGTTCAACAAGGTTGAGGGGCTGTGTGGAACATGTACATGCTTTGAATTCCATTAGGGGAACCTGCCTGAAAGGAGCGCACATTTCTTATGTGGAGTCTCCACTGGCAAGGGTGCCCCTAATTTTTGTTGTTCCCATGGCATCTTCTGGGCATACAGATTCCCCACATGCTTAGGCTAGACCCCCAGCCTCACTTCCTCTCCTGTTCTCATCCTGTCATCCCTCTTCTTCCCCAGAATGCACGAGGGGATTGCTCAGGCTATAGAGGAAGCACTGAACAGAGTGGCAGCTAATACCCCTCCCTGCTCGGTGACACAGTGACTAAGGTTCAGCAGGGCCACATGCTGGGTCCTGGTCAGCTTGTTCCTGTGGTCAAAGTGTTGGGTAGGGACCCAGGCCTAGGGTGCTAACTCCTCAAACTGGAGTTCTAGTGAGCTGAGTGCCTGTCTGGTTCAGCGTCTGGGTGTGTGTAGGACCACTGCAGTGAGCTGCACGAGATCCAATGCTGTGAGGTCAACTGAGCAGCTCTGGTGTTTGCTTAAAAAGCGTCTCATTGAAACTGGTACTTAGCCAGGCCCCAGTGGTACATCCCAACTACTCAGGAGGCTGAGGCAAGAGGATCACAAGTTGAGGGTCAGCCTGAGCAACTTTGCAAGACCCTGTCTCAAAATTAAAAAAATAAAATAGGAGCTAGGATGTAGCTCAGTGGTAGAGGACTTGTCTAACATGCTTAAGATCCTGATTTGATTTTCCCATACCAGGGCCTGGGGGGCTGGAGATGTAGCTTAGTGGCAGAGCACCCCTAGGCTCAATCCCTGTTATTGTTAAAACAAAAAAATGCTGGTACTTAATACTCCAAAGTAGAGTTTCCCTGGGCTGGAGTTCTGTGTTTACTGCTTGCCCTTTAGCCTAGAGCCCTTGAGTGACCTGGTCCCTGCCCCCACCATCAGGCTGTTCTGTCTGCCTGAATCCACTCCTATCCAGACTCTAGGGCCCACCATATATGTGCCTGCCCAGGTATGTCAGCCCCCTATGTCTTAGCTGGATTCTGTCTACCTTTCTCCAATCCCACTTCTCCACAGCCTCCAGGAGGGTATTTCTGAATTTTTCTGAGGTGTCATGTTCTGCTTCTCCTTTCTTTGTGCCCCTTGCGTGAGGATACTGCCTCCTTCCTCTCCCACCTTCAGCCACTCAGTACCACCCACCCAGTCCTCCAGCTTGCCCTTGCCTCTCCCACTTCTCCTACAGTGCTGTCCCTTGGTGCTCCATGCAACCCATTCCAGAATCACCCTCCATCTTTATGAACTTGGGTACCATCACTCTTCTATAGCTCAAGTGCTAGTCAGCATCCATTCTAGATGTTCCCCAGTACCCTGCCTGGCCACTTCCAGCATTTCCTGCATCAGTTGTGATTGTGTGTGTCCTCTAGAGCACCTTCACTTTCCCCTCAGGGCCCATCATGAAAGAGGTAGCTCACTAAATGTTTGTGGAATGAATAAGTCTGGGGCAAAGAGAGCCATGATTGTTGCTGACCCCTCTGTCCAGTGACCAGAAATGGGAGAGAGAGCCAGGAAGGGAGGTTTAGCTCCCAGTGTTGATGAGTATTAAGATGTAGTCACCAAGGCTAACTCTGTGGTTCTCTTTTTGTCACATGAGAGTTTGTTTTCAAATCCAACTGTCTGGGAAAGTCATGATCTCTACGTAAGAGGTGAGAAATGCAGAGTTCTCATGACTCCCTGGATTCTGAAGCAGTGTTTTGGGACAGCTTTATGGTATTGAGAAATGGATCCTGAATTTGCCAAGGAGAACACTGATCATATAGGGTGACCTGTACCTCAGAGGGAATTGGCAACTGTGGGGAGGGCTCCTGGACCCTAGAGGGTTCAGCAGACTAGGGTCATCCTTCCTGTGCAAGAGGATCCTCCAGTACTTGTCTGAATCCCACTTTCCTCATCTGTGAATTAGAGCAAATACCTGAACCATCCAGCTGAACTCACAGTTAGAGGTGGACCATGAAGCCAAGTGACTGTATGGCCAGCAGCGGTGAAATTTGTTCTGCAGCTTCCAGAGATGGGGGGTAGTCTACTCGCACAGAGGCACCAGCCTTGGTCCTGGGAATCTTCCGCACCACTGTTGGTAATAAGGCTTGTCCTTTCTCCCACATCCATTTTTCCTCCTTCCTGCCCTAACTTCTGTAGGGGGTTTGTTGTGGAGGAAAGATCTGGGGATTATTTGAGGCTGCTGTGGGGGGTTCGTGGCAGAAGTATCTCATAGGAATGCTCCTCTCTAGAGAAGCCTAGCCATGTGGCTGTGAGCCTGGAGATATTTAAGGGGCCCTTAAGCCTTTGGCCTCACCCTTGGCGGACCCAAAGGACACAGTGGATCACTGGTTGGGAGCATCACCTGGAGAAATCACCTGATGTAGCAATATAACATTTTGTGGAAATCAAAAGCACTTTGTTTCCACCTACCTTTTTTTTCCTTTTTAAGAAACACTTGAAGGGCTGAGGATTTAGCTCAGTGGCAAAGTGCTTTCCTTGCATGTGCAAGGCCCTTGGTTTTATCCCCAGTAACACACACACACACACACACACACACACGCACAAACACTTGCTTCCCATCTTCAGGTATCCTGAACTATCAAATAGGCACCATGTTGATGAGGAAAAGACCATGAGTGTCACTGAGGAGGCTTACAGGGTGGGGAAAGAGGAAGTGCATGGCAGGAAAGGAAAGTGTAGCAATTGAAAGAGGTACCTGGGGGGAACCATCATCAGACTCAAGCTTGGGATCTGTACCTGGCCTGTGGGAGAGCTGCGCAACTGACTCCCATGCTGCACCCTCTACAGGATTGACCCCAGCATTGGCCCACTGGGGCATCACTCCTGGACACTCCTGAGCATCTGCTGAGTGCCAGGCCTGGACCCTGAGGAGCAGTTACAGTGGGAAAGCCCTGGAAACATCAGAGCGGCCCTGGTGTGCCACACTGGCAGAGTGCTTTCTATAAACAGTCCTAGTTAATCCTCACAACAAAAACATCAGATGGATCATACCCTTCTCTGCTTCCCATTGGGCTTAGAGTAAAACCCGGACTCCTCCTCTGCATGCCCAGTCCCTGAGCACAGTCTCCCTGCTCTTGGCTGCCCTGCCAGCTGCATTGTTCTCTCCCTGGAGCTCCTTCCTGCCTTCTGGCCTTGACAGAAGCCTTTTTAGCTATCCCCAGAACCCTTTCCATGGCTTTTTTCCTGGCTGCCTCCTTATCTCTGTGGCTCATATGTCATTTCTCAGGAGGTATCCAAACTGCAGACCCTTTGTAAAGTTGCCATTGCCACGCAGATACTCTGTGGGGAGCCCCCACAGTCAGAAACTGACACTACTCTAGCTCCCAGTCTCACAGGGTGTCAAGTGGAACTTTTCTTACTTTCCTGGAACTGCCAGTGAGGCCCAAAGCTAAGGACAAAGGCAGTGCTTCTACCATTCCAAGCTCAGGAAGCTGCAGACAGCTGGGGCTGGCCGGAGCTGCTACCTGGAGACCCAGCCCTGGGAGACCCCTGCTGTGAACTTGAGGAGGGGTGTTTCAGGTGAGAAACTACTCTCTGCCCTATGGTGGCCAAGAAAATCATATAATAGCCAGTGGTGCCTATGCAGAGCCCCGCACTACTGTGTGTCCAACAGCCTGGCTGTCTATCCTGGGCTGCCCAAGCATGGGGGCATAGGAGGATGCATTGTTTTTGCTGTGTCACTCCAACATCACCTGTACCTTAGTGAGCCCAGAGGCAAAACTCAACCCACAGGTTTTGCCTAGAAACAAAAACTTTTGTGGGGTCAATGTTATTTATTAGCTCTATTTTACAGATTAGGCCACTGCAATATAAGGAAGATGCAGGGCTTAAGCAAATAAATGTCAGAGGTGAACTTTGCAACCAGACCTGTTTACCTGCACAGATGGCCCATTCTTTAGCTTCTGCTTCCCTTCTCTCTCCCTGGCCACCAGGGTGAATGCTGGGTATGGCACCTTTGTCAGGAGCTAGGGAAATAAGCATGTAATGTTGTGTAACAGCAGCAGTCCAGCTGGTGGACCAACAGGGAAAGAGTCACTGTAGCTATAAAGATTCACCTTGTTGGGCTGGGGGGTGTAGCTCAGTGGTAGCGCATATGATTAGCATGTGTAAGTCCCTGAGTTCAATCCCAGCACCACTAAACAAACAAACAAACAAACAAAAAAGCTCCACAAAGTGTGGGTGTGCAAGCCAGGCTCATTTTATGTTGTTGATGAGTTTCCTACCTCCCCTTATTTCCCTGTCCCAGTGACCAGTTTAAGAAAGATCTAACTCAACCAGGCAAGATGGCACACACCTGTAATCCTTGCTACTCAGGAGGCTGAGGGGAGAAAAAGTTCCTGGGTTCAATCCTCAGTACGGGGGGGAGGGGGGCAGCGGGAATTTTAACTTTGGTTTTTGTGTGTGTATGTTTTTGTGATGCTGGTGATTGAATCCAGGGGCACTTGACCACTGAACTACATCTCCAGCCATTTTTATTTTTTTATATTTTGAGACAGTGTCTTGCTAAGTTGTTGAAGCTGACCTGGAACCTGTGATCCTCCTGCCTCAGCCTTGTGAGTTGCTGGGATTACAGCCTTGTGCCGCTGTACCTGGCTAACTCAGTTTTAATTGTATGCATGTGAATATGTAAGAAAAAGGTTTTGCGGGCTGGGGATGTGGCTCAAGCGGTAGCACGCTCGCCTGGCATGCGTGCGGCCCGGGTTCGATCCTCAGCACCACATACAAAGATGTTGTGTCCACTGATAACTAAAAAAAAAATATTAAAAAAAAATATATATATATATATTTTTAGTTGTAGGTGAACACAATAACTTTATTTTTTTTTTTTTAATTTTTTTAGTGTGGCGCTGAGAATCGAGCCCAGTGCCTCACATGTGTGAGGAAAATACTCTGCCACTGAGCTACAACCCCAGCCCCCTGTCTTTTTTAAAAAAGGCTGAAGATGTAGCTCAGTGGTGAAATACTCCTGCGTTTAATCCCCAGTACAAAAAAGAAAGGAAGGAAGGAAGTTAGTTTTGAAAGCTGTATACCAAAGTGTTGGTTGTTCTCGTTCCATAGAAGGAGGATAGAACTAGAGAGGTAATTTAAACAGAACTCTATAATCTGGTCTTACCTAACCTTTTGTGATTATGATTCTGCTTTCATATATCACTTACCTAATAAAATGTTTCATTTTGTTTGAAACCAAAGGAAGATACTTGTCTTTAATAGTTGCCTTGAGGGGGCTTGGGTTGTGGCTCAATGGTAGCATACTTGCCTGGCATGTGTGAGGCACTGGGTCGAGTCTCAGCACCACATATAAATAAATAAAATAAAGGTCTATCAACAACTAAAAAAAAATAGCTGCCTTGAGGAGGTCATTGGGAACCTGGTTGCTGGGGCCTAGAAGCATCATGTTTTCCTTTTGAGTCAGATGTGGGGAGAAGGAAGGGACATGGAATGGGGGCTCATTGCCTCTGTGTCCCTCTGATCCAGTGTGATCCTGGACTTCTTGCTGCAGCTCACCACTCTGCATCTGCAACTTGCTAAAAGAACTCTCTGCCAAGTATAGAGATCACTTCTGGAGTTTTCAGTTTAATATTCAACCTAGGTCTGGGGCCAGGCAATTGAAGGCGCTGTTCTGCCCCTCTCTTTATAAACATGTTTATTGCTGTCAGAAGGACCTGGTTCTTTTCACCCAGACAGGATAGGCCTGGGGTTATTCCAGTGTTTGTGAGCTTAGGCTCTAGAGTACATAGATAACTCAGACATGGGAGATTGTGGAGTGTGGCCTGACTGTGGCTGTGGGTGTGCAGGTGGCCTGGGGCATAGCCTTCTGAGCAGAGGAAGAAGGGACCCTTGCTGCTGCTACTCCCAAGACAGAGCAAACTCCACAACTACTTTTAAGGGGTGTCCTTATTAAGAAGAGGGTACAGGTTGTGACACAAGCCTAATCTTACTGTGAACATGGTTTTCCAATGGGACATATTAAAATCACTTTTATATTTTAGTGTTTTTGTCAGAAAAACTTGTTTTAATTAATTTTTTCTATGGGGAAGCCCCTCTAAAAACATATCAATGGGTATAGACCTTAAAGACTAAAAGCAGGGACTCAGCAGATATTTGTACACCCAAGTCCATGGTAGTAGTATTCACAATAGCCAAAAGGTAAAAGCAACCTAAGTGTCTATCCACAGATGAATGAGTAAACAAAGTGGTCTGTCCATATGACAAAATATTATTGAGCCTTTATTCTGGTATGTACTAAAACAGAGATGAACCTTGAGGACATCTAGCTAAGTAAAATAAGCTAGTCGTAAAAGTATAAATATTGGATGATTCATTCCTGTGAGGCACCTAGAGCAACTGAATTCTTGGAGACAGAAAGTAGAATGGGGGATGTCAGGGCATGGGGGAGGGAGTCTGTGTTTAATCAGGGGAGTTTCTGGAGTTGAATGTGACACTGGTTGTGCAGCTGTGTGAAGGTAGTTAACACCACTAAACTGTACACTCACCAGTGGTTAAAACGGCAATTTTTGTGTGTGTTTACCACACACAAAAATGAAAGCCTCCCCCAGGCATTTTCTCAAAACAGTATTGCCCATTTGGTTTTGCATTATAGTTCTTAATTTTCATTCGGTGTTTTAATAAAGTAGTATTTGCTTTTCCTGTTTTTAGATGAATCTTCTAGAAGCAAGAGAACCTGGAGTGATGTAGTCATTTGCCAAATCTCACTGAAGCTTATCCCTTTGACATCTTCAGACACTTGTGCTGTCCCAGGCAGACAGGTTAGTCTGATTTTATGTAGGCAGATATTATGCCTTTGTGTCCAGGAGAGTAGCTTTGGCAGAGCTTTGGTGAGTGTGGGACCTGAAGCAGAAGACTGGCTGTTGTAGGTGGCTATTTAGAACCTCCTGTTGAGGCTCAGCTCCCCTGTTTCTTATGTGTGTGTGAAGAACAGCAGCAGCATCATGGAGAGATGGCACTGAAGCTTCTGAGACTCCATCCTTTGTCCCCAGAAGTCTGATTTTGAAGCTGGGTCACCTTCCATTTATTACTCAGCACACACCCCCACCCCCCAGTGATTCTGTCTGGAGTTGCCTGCAGAATGTACCTTCCAAGTTGACAATATCAAAGTTAAGAGCTGGCTTCAGAATTCCATCCCAGGCCAGGTAAGGCAGAGCAGGCGCAGGTCCTCAGTGCACAGCCTTTGCCTCCAAGGGCTGAAAGAAGGAGTTGCTCACAGACTCTTCCTGGCCCTTGGCTCCTTTTTGGAAGATCCCAGGCCTCAGGACGGGGTGTTTGAGAGCCTGAGTGGACCTCCTGAGGAGAGGTCCAACTGTTTTTAGCACAGTTGGTCTCTAAACCCCTTCCAGGGACCCTGTCCCTAGCTTCTCATTACTCCAAACCTGTGTAGCCCATTCCAGTAACACCTGAGCTCTGTGAAAATAAGATATATTCCAAAGTTCATAATGATTTCTCAGAAGAGTCATTTATCTCTCTTTTTCTTTTTCTTTTTTTTTGGTACTAGGAATGAACCCAGGGGCGCTTAACCACTGAGCCACATCCCAAGCCCTTTTTTTTTTTTAAGTTTAAGGTAAGGTTTAACTAAGCTGCTTAGGGCCTTGCTAAGTTGCTAAGGCTGGTCTTGAACTTAGAATCCTCCTGCCTCAGACTCCTGAGTTGCTGGGATTATAGGCATGTGCCACCACATCCAGAACAGCTATTTATCTTAAATGGAGGCCCTTCTAGTACTTTGTAGAAACATTAAAACAGAAAAACAATGTTTTTTTCAGTATTGGGGATTGAGCCCAGATCCTTGCACAGGCTAGATAAGCATTCTGCCACTGAGCTACAAGCCCAACCTGTTGAGTTTTTTTTGTTTGTTTGTTTTGGTTTTTTTTTTTGTTTGTTTTGTTTTTTGTTTTTTTTTTGTATGTTCTAGGGATAGAACCCAGGGCCTTGTACATGCAAGGCAAGCACTCTACCAACTGAGCTATATCCCACCCCCTTCCCAGCCTGTTTTGAGACAGGGTCTTATTAAGTTGCCCAGGCTTGCCTCAAATTTGCCATCCTCCTGCTTCAGCTTCCTGAGTAGCTGGGCAAAAAGTGTATTGGACAAAAAAGTTATTTTAAAAATTTTTCAAACTTTTTCAAACACATGTACTAAAAATATTTTTTAATTCTACAGGGTGTGGGATGGCAGACAGGTTAGCAAGCAAACTCTATAGAGGGGTCTGGAGGATCTAGCTACTCTTTACGCCCATCCTGGCAGCCTGGGGCCCTTCTCCCTGGCATACCAACACCATGGATTCCCCAGGGTACAACTGCTTTGTGGACAGAGACAAAATGGATGCTGCAATCCAGGACCTGGGGCCAAAGGAACTAAGCTGCACTGAGCTGCAGGAGCTAAAGCAGCTGGCACGCCAGGGATACTGGGCTCAGAGCCACGCCCTGAGGGGAAAGGTGTACCAGCGTCTGATCCGGGACATCCCCTGCCGCACAGTCACACCTGACGCCAGTGTGTACAGTGACATTGTGGGCAAAATTGTGGGCAAGCACAGCAGCAGTAGCCTGCCCCTGCCAGAGTTTGTGGACAACACCCAGGTGCCCAACTATTGCCTGAATGCTCGGGGCGAGGGTGCCGTGCGCAAAATCCTCCTGTGCATTGCCAACCAGTTCCCTGACATCTCCTTCTGCCCTGCCCTGCCAGCTGTAGTGGCCCTGCTACTTCACTACAGCATTGATGAGGCTGAATGCTTCGAGAAAGCCTGCCGCATCCTGGCTTGCAATGACCCCAGCAAGAAGCTAATTGACCAGAGTTTCCTGGCCTTTGAGTCATCCTGTATGACATTTGGGGACCTGGTAAACAAGTACTGCCAGGCGGCCCACAAGCTGATGGTGGCTGTGTCAGAGGATGTCCTGCAGGTCTACTCTGACTGGCAGCGCTGGCTGTTTGGAGAGCTGCCCCTCAACTACTTTGCCCGTGTCTTTGATGTCTTCCTGGTGGAAGGCTACAAGGTGTTATACCGCGTCGCTCTGGCCATCCTCAAGTTCTTTCACAAGGTGAGAGCTGGTCAGCCTTTTGAGTCAGACAATGTAAAGCAGGACATCCGCATGTTTGTCAAGGATATTGCTAAGACAGTGTCCCCTGAGAAGCTGCTAGAGAAAGCATTTGCCATCCGTCTCTTCTCCCGCAAGGAGATCCAACTCCTGCAGATGGCCAATGAGAAAGCACTGAAGCAGAAAGGTATCACGGTCAAGCAGAAGAGGTAAGCAGCCCCAGGCTGTGTGTGTGTGTGTGTTGTGTGTGTGTGTGGCCTCTGGCAGGCTGCAAGGGACCCAGGCAAGAGTGGGGGTTCTGGTGGATTATATCCTGGAAGTCTGAGCCTGAGCTTATTCTATCAGTCTTGGTCTGTCCATGTGTACACATATGGGTAGAAAGACACTAAAAAGCAGGAAGAGCCTTCCTAGTTACTGTCACAGCAAGACATGCCAGGGCCTGTCCTCAGGGACTAAAGTCAATGGCTGAGATGGAAGCTAGACAGCAACAGAGGGTCAGAAAGTCCATAGGGGCCAGGCTGGCCTCTCAGCGGTCATGTAAGAGCAGCTTCATGGCTGGTTGTTCTCATGGCTGCTGATGTGGTCTCCCTGCCCTGAGTGTAGCTCCTGGGGAGCAGGGTTGGGAAGGGTCACGGTGTTCAGCAGCTGACACTGGGATTATGCCATGGGTGACTGTTGCATGTAGTTTTCTTTCTCCTGGGCCAGAAAAAGGCACACCCTGAGATTGGTATCTGCCACTAACCTCTTCTTGTCTGTTTTATTTTCTTTTTTCTTCTCCATGTCCATTGCTTCCTCCTGTTTTTCAGTGTCTCACTTTCTAAAAGGTAGGTCTAAAAGCACACCTCAGTGCCTGACTTCTCCACCTTTTTGGCAGCCAGCTCTGAACCAACTCTTGCTATTTCCCAGGGCCTGGCTGGTTCTTATGAACCAGCTTCCACTTCCTCAGCCTGACACTCAGGCACAATCTGTCTGTCTGTCTACCTCAGTTGTGCCATCTGCTGGTACTTGGCTGGCCCTGCAACTTTGTCCTTCTGTCCTGATTTCTTAGAGAAAAGGTGCTTTTGACACCCCCAGTATGGGCACTCTGCCCCTTTAGAAGGTGGGAGGTGGGGCTTTTGGGAACAGCTGTGCCCCATTCTTTGTATCCAGGCCCTAGAATCAGGCAGTACACCTGGTTGAGTAGATGAGATGTCCCCTCTGGGCTTGGTTACAAAGAGTAGCTCTGAGACCTGGGTGGGAATACAGTCAGGTCACTGCAGGCTCTGACATTTTCTGCTCTCCCCAGGCAGTTTGTGCACCTGGCCGTCCATGCAGAGAACTTCCGCTCTGAGATTGTCAGCGTGAAGGAGATGAGAGATATCTGGTCTTGGGTCCCTGAACGGTTTGCCCTTTGCCAGCCCCTTCTACTTTTCTCCTCATTGCAGCATGGGTACAGTCTAAGCAGGTGAGGCCCTCTTGGTGCCCTGGGTATGTCCTGCCATGATTTCCAGGAGTTCATAGGGGTGGTTGGAAAAGCCTTTGCACCTGAGCCCCTGGTAAGGCCCTACCTCTTCCTGTGGGCTCCAAGAATCAGAAGCCCCTTGTCTGAACTTTTGTCATTTCCAGGCTACCCACACTTTGGAGATCACTGCCTCCTAGGCCATAGCTTAGGGTCCTGTGCATTGCTCTGATAGGGGGTTTCCCCAAGCACACTACCACCAAAAAACCTCAGCCAGGTTTGGCTGGTATTCAGCACCTCAAGTCTCAGATGGCAGGTAGCCTCAGAAACTCTAGCTGGTGTCACAAGAGACCTGGCTGGGTGATTTGGGCAGATCTGGCCTAGCTTTCACCCCAGGCCCTGTCTGCAGCCATATAAGCATTTTGGCATAGCTGGAGCTACTTTGCCCAACCCCCACCAAGCATACCAGCCGAGCACTGTGCACCACACTGGAAGCTGTGGGTCGCCCCACATGCCCAGCCCCTGAGGATGTGCCCAGCTTTCCTACAGTGAGGACCTGTTCCTCTGGTTCTTGCTTCCCTGTAGCACCTGGCTCTGGGCTCTGCCCTCAGGGGGCCATCTGCTATGAGGCTTCTCTTCCATCCAACTGGGGTAGACAGCCCAGAATGTCCGAAAAAGGCCAGGTGAGAAGAGCACCTGATGAGGACATTGCCAGATCCTTAGCACCCCTGACAGCCTGGGCTAAGAGTCAGCAGAGGCTGGCAGGAGACAGTGGGGAGGGCAGCAGAGTAGCATCTGTGGTCTCTGCCCCCAGGTTCTATTTCCACTGTGAGGGACACGAACCTACCCTCCTGCTCATCAAGACCACACAGAAGGAGGTGAGGAGGACCCAAGGGAGTCTGGGACCTGGACTCTGATGAACCTGGGAGAGGCTGCATCTCCCAGGGATACCAAAATCCAAATGTGGATGTGTCCTATGCATGGAGCTCATCCTGTGCTTGAGGGCCACTAAGGGAGATGGAAATGTCCCAGAGGCATCCACCCCATGGCCAGCTTCAACCTGTGGTGTGGAAGGGTGCATTTTTCAAAACTTAGCCCTCTCCACATCCCTTTTGCACTTGGTGTGGGTGGGTGGGTGGGGGGACTGTGACACACTGCATGCCCTGCTGGGGCCTGTGACTTGGTACCTCAGTAGGCCTGAACAAGGGAACCTTCCTGGGGTAGCCTGACCTTCTTCCTCAGGTGTGTGGAGCTTATCTATCAACAGACTGGAGTGAGAGAAACAAGTATGGAGGCAAACTGTCCTTCTTCGGAACTGGAGAGTGCTTTGTATTTAGGGTGAGTGGGGCTGAGCCCAGGGCCCCCCGTGTAGGCCCAGCAGTCACCCTGGGCCAGGGTTGTTCCCAGTCCCTCAGCCTCACCAAAACTCCCAGGGGGAGCTCAGGAGTTGGCAGGCCCTTGCCCTGGTACCCCAGCTCACATGATCAAGTTTCATTTCACTACAGCAGTTACCCTACAGGATATTTTCCTTCTGCTTTTTTTTTTTTTTTTTTTTTGGTACTGGGGATTGAACCCAAAGTGCTCTACCACTGAGCCAGATACCTGCCCTTTCTATTTTATATTTTGAAACAGAATCTCACTAAGATGCAAAGCCTTGCTTTGAACTTGCAACCCTCTTGCCTTAGCCTCCTGAGTCACTGAGATTATAAGCAAATGCCACTGCACCTAGCTATAAATGATTTTTTTCTTTTTCCCAGTACTGGGGATTGAGCCCAGAGTTACACTGAGCTACATCCCCAGCCCTTTTTTATTTTTTATTTTTAGACAGGGTCTCAGTAAGTTAATTAGGGCCTCATTAAATTGCTGAGGCAGGCCTTGAACATGTGATCTTCCTGTGAGCCTCATAGGTCACTGGGATTAGAGGTGTGTGCCACTGCCTAGCACAACTTCTGGGTTTTGATCACGCTATCAAGTGCCTATGAGCAAGTGGGACCTCATCTGCTTGTGTGTTGTCATTTCTTCAGCCCCTGGCTCACAGCCAAGCTATGGAATGGAGATGGGCCTTGGTTTTGGAGGACAGAAGGGGCTCACTGGGGCACTGCATGCCAGTAACTCATGCCCATTCACCCTCAGCTGCAGCCAGAGGTGCAGCGTTACGAGTGGGTAGTCATCAAGCACCCAGAGCTTATCAAGCCGGTACCCTGCACATCCTCCCACTCCAGCTGTTCAGACCCAGCTGACCGACTCTCACCATTCCTGGCAGCTCGGCACTTCAACCTGCCCTCCAAGACTGAGTCCATGTTCATGGCTGGGGGCACTGACTGCCTCATCATCGGTAGGAACCCACTTCTTCCACCTACCCTGGGGGGAGGGCATGGAGGATTGTGAGTGAGGATTGGGATAAATAGACTAGGAAGCAGGGGTCTACCTGGACAGCCAGGCCCAGGGTACTGTGGAGGTTCAAAGGTCAGCCTGTGGTTTTATGTACCTATGCATTTATTTTTGTGATGCTGGGCCTTGCACATGCTGGGCAAGGCCTAAAGGGACCACTTGCCAGAGGCTTTAGAGAGGCCTCTGGCAAGGACTTCTGAGGTTGCCCAGTCTAGGCAGAGATACCTCAAGGGCAGTGCTGATGGGTTGTGGGTGGGGACAGAGAGGCTGCTACTGACATGAGCACCCTGTAGGGGGAGGGGGTGGCCAGGCGCTCTACATCGACGGGGACCTGAACCGGGGCCGCACGGGACACTGCGACACTTTCAACAACCAGCCCCTCTGCTCAGAGAACTTCCTCATCGCTGCTGTGGAGGCCTGGGGCTTCCAAGACCCTGATACCCAGTGATGGGCCTGCGCTGATGGTGACTGAGCTGCCTCTGTGGGGTGGTGGGGTAGAGGCTGGGTCACCTCTTCCAGGAGCAGGGAGTGAAACCCGCCCCTAGGTGGTAAGCAGTATTGGCCTGCAGCTGGATTACCATGGCCAAGCCTGGCCAAGCCTGCTTGGACTAGCTGCTCCTTCTACTTGGAAGAGGCCCCCTGATCCCACCTGCCTCTGGGTTAGAGCTCAGGGGGCTCAGGCCAGCACAGTGCTTGCATAGAAGGCACACTCCTTCCCAATTGAAGGCCATGGCTCTCTGTGGAGGAATCTGCCCAAGGCTATATAGGTTGGGGATCTACATCTTGCTGCCACTGGGGCTTCAGGCCCTGATGAGGGGGATGGAAAGACAGAGGAACCTTCCACCAAGTGTGTAGCTGTGGTGCCCCCTACTGGTGCTGCAAGGTGTCACTCCCCTCTGGAGGGGACCTGATGTCTCCCAAGGATTGGTCCTGAGAACAGGTGCCCTTGGCACTGTTCCCCGGTAGGATCCCACTTCCCTCCCCAAGAGCATCTCCCCAGGCCTCTGGTCAAGTCCCTCCTTCCCTGGGGGTCTCCTCTCCAGCAGTATCTCCACTCTGAGACTTTGCTGGGCTACATTTGCTACTGTAGAGTGGGAAAGCGGAGGGCAGGATTTGTGCTGAGACCCATTGCTCCCCTATTCCCCTAGAGAGGGTCAAAGGCCGGTGGGGTGGGGGCTGGAGGGAACGTGACATGTCCTTGTATTTCTGCAGAGCCTGAAGCTCTTGGTGGGCCTTTCCTTGCTGCAAGTCCACCTGAAGAGGTGGCCCCAGAAGGGACTTTCTTTGATCAACCTCCCAAACAGCCAGTGCCATTTCCAGAGGCCTGCCCAGAGATGCCTGGACTTGCTGTGGCTTCTCAGCCCTCCTCTTTCCATCTCCGTGGCCTCCTTGAGCCTCCCACAGTCTCTGCAGTCATCCTGTTTTTCTCTTTTGTCACAATGGCCGCCAGGCCAGGGTCAAACTCAGACCCCTCAGCATGGATGCTTGCCTCAGTCCTGCCCTGCCTACTTCTCTTTATTGGGCCCTGCACTTCCCTAGGTCCTGCCCACATAACACCTCCTGGACTTCTCTGCCTACTACATCCGTTCTCTATATGCCTCTCCTGGCACTGTGGCTGGCCACATGTCATGGTTTTCTGTGTGCTGCCCCCTCCTCTTAGATCCTTCAGGCCCCTGGGCACCTGCACTGCCTGAGCCCTGTGCTGGCCTTGTGCATGGCAGGTGCCAAGGGAATACCTCTCTCTGAGCACTACAGGGAGTATACCTCCCTGTGCCCTCCAATTCTGCCCTGTGAACTCCCTCAGCCAGTCCTGAGGGTCTGGACACCAGAGAGAAGAGGGGAGAAGCAGTGACCCAAGTGGATGTTGGGCCATTGAGACCTGGGAAATAGGATAGATGCCTAGTCCCACCTAGCTGCAGCCAGCACCTCTCATTGTCACTGTGCACTGCACTAATGCCTCTTCCAACACCATGCTTGCCCTTCCTGTGAGGGGTTCATCCCCTTTTGCCTGTCTAGTCATGTTGCCTCTGAGCTGGGTCATGGTGTACAAGAGCAGTACAGGAACCTTATGTGGCTTTGGGTAAGCTGATAAACTACCTGGAGTTCAAGTTTCCCACCTTGAGATGGGGCAGTTCTCCTGCCATGCTGCCCTCTTGGACAGGGGAATCATATGAATCCCTCTTCAGGGGAGAGGTGCTAAGAGGTAGTGACATTGCTACCCCAAAGTGCCACAGCCCTTACTGTCCCCCCTTTTTTTTGAGCCCCCCACTGTCCAGGCCTGTAACCTACGATGTTGTTGTTCATTAAATACAGTTTTGTTTCATTAACTCCAGGGGTCTGAGCCTGATTTCTTCAGCTAAATGAGTCTCTGGGGAGTCCCTGGGCTGTGCCACCTTGGGATCCTCACCCAGGCACTGTCACTGGCTTTTAAAAACACAGATGAAGCTAAACCTGAGCATTTTTTGTAGGCGTCTTTGCAAACTTCCTGACAGGGTGGTGGGTGGTGGCTTTACTGAAAAACAACTGGTTCTATGTGGCTGCCCCAAGAGGCCAGCTTGCTTTGGCCTTGCTGAGATCCAGCCCAAGATGACCAAATAACACTTAATCATGATTTCTACATTATAATATATGTTTTTTGCTTTGTGTGTACATTGCAAAATATTCATTTTCCTTGAATTTAGTGCTGCCTTTTTCCTGACTTCTCTACCAAAAAATTTCTTCCAAAAGATAGATGTGGTTATTATTTTTTATTCTTATTACTATTATTATCTGATACTAAAATTCCTAAATAGAACATAATTTACTTTATTGATGTTTTCTATTATTTATTCTTGATTATTAACTTTTGATATTGCAAAAATCAAAATTGAATAGAATTACACAATTTTTATTTTTTTAAGAAATATTTAAACACTTATTTTAAAAACAAATTTCGAGCCAGATGTAGTGGTATACACCTATAATCCTAGTAACTCCAGAGGAGGCTAAGGCAGGAGGATTTTAATAAGCTCAAGGCCAACCTAGGCAACTGAGTGAGACCCTGTCTCAAAATAAAAAATATAAAGGAGACATATATTGGTGGTAGAGTGCTCTGGGTTCAATTCCCAAAACTGAAAAAATGAACATAAAAACTAAATATAAAAACAAATATTAAACCTAATCTCAGCCAGTTCATTAAATTAAATGCATTCATTAATGCCAAGCAAATGACTTTAATGCTTAAGGAAAAAGTTTTTTAAGGCAGACATGGTAGTGCACACCTGTAATCCCAGCAATTTGGGAGGCTGAGGCAGGAGAATCTCAAGTTCAAGACCAGCGTTAGCAATTTATTGAGGTCCTAAGCAACTTGGTGAACCCTGTCTCAAAATAGGTGGCTCAGACCAGGCTCGATGGCCACGCCTATAATCCCAGGGCCTTGGGAGGCTGAGGCATGAGGATTGTGAGTTCAAAGCTAGCCTCCGCAAAAGCAAGGTGCTAAGCAACTCAGTGAGACTCTGTCTAAATAAAATACAAGATAGGGCTGAGGACATGGCTCAGTGGTCAGTGCCCCTGAGATCAATCCTTGGTACCAGCCCAATCCCAAAAGAAATATGTGGCTCTGTGATTAAGCACCCTCACAGTTCCATCCCCAGTTAAAAAAAAAAAAGCGGGGGGGGGGACTAAATTTTTTTTTAATGTGTATTTTTTTTTTTAGTTGTAGTGGACACAGTTCCTCTATTTTATTTTTATATGGTGCTGAGGATCAAACCCAGTGCCTCATGCATGCCAGGCTAGCGCTCTACCACTGAGCCCCAGCCCAGAAATAAGTTTTTTGAAAAATTATTTATAACAGTAAGTGATTTGTATTTTGTCAATTTCTCAGTATTATTGAAGTAAAATCAGTTTCTGTTTTTCCTATTTTTGTAAGCTGACGTGCTTTAATTGAGTTTTTTAGTGCAACTTATTTTAGAACATTTTTGATTTCTGAAGTACTCTTACCCATTTCCTGAAGCCAGAGAACCTTTATGGTCTTCTTAGGTATTTTATATTAATTTAGTTTTTGTACTTTTTTTTTTTTTGTACTGGTGATTGAACCCAGGGGTGCTTTACCACTGAATCATATTCCCAGCCCTTTTTATTTTTTTATTTTGCTGAATTGCTTAGGGCTTCACCAAGTTGCTGAGGCTGACCTTGAACTTGCAATCCTCCTGCCTCTGACTCCCAAGTTTCTGGAATTACCTGCATGAACCACCATGCCTAGCTAATTTTTGTGCTTTTTTTGTCTATTTTTAGAAGAGTGGCTTAGTTGGCACAGTTTTCATCCTCCTCTTCATGATCTCCTTAGGTATTTTATATTAATTTAGTTTTTGTACTTTTATTTAATTTTTTTTTGTACCAGTGATTGAACCCAGGGGTACTTTACCACTGAATCATATTCTCAGCCCTTTTTATTTTTTATTTTGCTGAATTGCTTAGGGCTTTAAAAAAAAAAAATTTATATATATATATATATATATATATGGTTGAATCCAGGGCCTCAAGCATGTTAGACAAGTGTTCTGTCTGAGCTACACCCCCAGCCAGCCCAATGGTGATCTCTACAATCCCTTACCCACTTTCCAAATTTTAACATCAAAACAGAAATTAGGCTGGATATGGTGGATCATGCCTGTAATCCCAGATACTGAGGAGCCTGAGGCAGGAAAATCACAAGTTCAAGTCCATCCTGGATAACTTAGACCCTATTTCAAAATTAAAAAAAAAGAGAGAAAATTGGGACTGGGGTTGTGGCTCAATGGTAATGCACTTGCCTAGCATGCATGAAGCACTGGGTTCGATTCTTAGCACCACATACAAATAAATAAAGGTCCATCAACAACTAAAAAATATTTATTTATTTTTATTTTATTTTTTTTAAGAGAGAGAGAGAGTTCAATATTTATTTTTTAGTTTTTGGCGGACACAATATCTTTGTTTGTATGTGGTGCTGAGGATTGAACTCGGGCCGCACACATGCCAGGCGAGCGCGCTACCGCTTGAGCCATATCCCCAGCCCCACTAAAAAATATTTAAAAAAATTTTTTTAAAGGTTTGGGAATGTAGCTTAGTTATAGAACACTTGCACAAGACTATCCATTCGATAACTGTTACCTGAAAAACAAAACAAAAAATAGCACCTGTACACTGCTATTAATAAGAGCAGACCTTATTCAGATTGCTCATTTTCCCACTGTACAGAAATATGTTTAATTTTTAGAGATACTTTCTCACATTTTTACCAGATCTAGAATATTATCAAACAAGACTAATGCTGGTCCAAAAATAAAATTGGCACTAATTAGTACTGTATAGCAAATATCTCCAACTTGGATTCTCAATGGTTCTCCTCCTCAGCCTAAATGTCTTGTTTGCATGGAGAAGTTATCACTTGAAGCAGGAATGCCAAGCAATCCTCACAGGTTCCTCTCCTACAGCATTCACCTTAGGCAGAAGAGTGTGGTTTTAAACAATAATCTGTTGTGAAGAGTTTCTCATGATCTCCATTGTATCAGTATGTGATTGTGCTCCCAAGTGTAGGTGCAACATCGTGTGATTCATTGTTGCAGCCAAAAGGTCTCACTGTTTGCAGGCTGACTCCTTTTGCAGAACTGTACTGAATCTGTGGACATTGTGCTTGGGCCTAAGAAAGCAGTTGGTGGACACATTGTCAGATGGACAAATTGACTTGTGACATGACAGAAACAACAGAACTTTGCACTGCACACTGCTGGACCACAGGTGTGTTACCTGAAATTCTGGCAGTTCCATAAGTTAAGGCTGTTTTGTCCACAGTGTGGTGCACCAGGCCAAAGGGATCTGTTGGTCTGAGCTCATCCAGCAATACTGTGCTCAACGGGGATGTGAATGCAACCCAGGCTCTCTGGCCCTCACTGCTGTATTTAAAGAGACTGGAGCACCTCTACGCTATCATACTGAAGCATGTTGACTGTCAAAAGATGTGGTCAGAGCTTGTGAGCTAAAGATGGAAGGAGAAGAAGTTTCTTGTGTGATTTTACCTTCTAGTTCTTGTGAAGGATGGTTATTGGCTTTAAATTGGTCACCAGGCCAATCCTGTGGTGTATCTGAACAGCTGTAATGAAAATATACTATTGCTTAGTGAGTAAATATGTGGATTTATAGCAAAATCCAACTTTGTGAAAATAAGTAATTTAGTGATTTTTGGTTGGTGTTAATTTGAGTCCCAAATAGTGAAAACTGACGGAACAACATAATAGTGCAATACTTGCTATGAGTGAGTTCAGTGGGGTGGCAAATCTCCAGTGCCTCATCTCCTGGAGCAACTCCACCTATCTGTCACGGAGCAGAGGAAGGCAGTGGACTGAGGACTGATTGCTTCAAGTGGAATGAAGAGATTGCACTAGCTGATTGCAGTCCTTGGTGAGACTGGCCTCTCTTTATTTTTATTTTTTTTTGTTGTTGTTGGTTTACAAATGTTTTATTTTAGAAAATTGTTATAACAAAAGATACTTATCAAGATGATACTCAATTTTCCCTATTCTAGAACAGGACTACAGGGAATGATAAGGGTTAACTTCACCAAGTCAAAGCCCTACTAAGGCTGCATGCACCCTGAGCATTATGCCCTTTGGGTTGAGATATTGGTTTAAGGTGTTTGCCCCAGTGAATTATGTTTTCTTAAATGTTAATATTCCCACCTTGACCACACATACATTTTGTAAGCTTCCCTACGCTTCCATGCATAAGGTCCTATGTTTCTTTTCTTTCAAATCATGACACAAAGAACAGAGAAAAATATCTAATAAACAAAGCAGATGTATACAGAACCATGTATTCATCTATTTAGTCTTCCCTCATAGACGAAGTGTTTAAAACGTCCTTTTACCTTTAAGCTAATTTCTGATCCTTGTGGTACAATTCACTGATAGATGTAGATTGACGTGTGCCATTGATGTTAGTATACACAGTTGATTTTTCTCACTTCCATGGTCCACAGTTAGGGGTTCTAAAGTACTGTGGCCATTTACATGTTTTATTGGCATGTCAACATCTAATTTTCATAAGGTTTGGGTTTGTCAGTAAATGCCATCTACCTTCCTGAGCACCTGTGTACCAGAGCTCATCAGATTCATCATTTAGTTCAGCCATCTGGAGATGGACTGTGATGGAGGCATAAAGCAGACAAGGCGGCATATATAGATTTGGCTGCTCATCAGAGAACAGAAATATTATCTAGGGATAGTGCTGAGGACTTGCATGTCAGCCACAATGCTAAGATGTTTTGGTTAGAAAACCCACTTTAAACTACTTTTATCATGTAGGAAATGAG